GCTTTCTTGGTCTCAGTACCTATCATGATAAAAAGATTATAAACTTGTTTGTTAGTGGGGACCATGATGTTTTAGTTGAAAACAATTGTTTTGTATCATTTGGCCCCATTTTGTAAAGCAGTATAACCAGAAAAACCAGACAAAAAAGACAGGGAAATGCTGGCTTAGAAAGAAAATAGCAATATTTTATCCTACTTGTTGGACAACTGCAATAAATGCCAATCCTAGCTGCGACTTAATTAAAAATGATTACTGATTTGGAGTCTCATCATTGACTGACTTTGAAGCAGATGGGATCCAAAGATGAACGCCTGCATGTTCTGGTAATGGCTGCACAAAATTAAAAGTATTACAAATGATAGAGAATGAAGACCCACCCTTGTGTCTAAAGGGCACAGGTCTCATGAAGGCTGCCTCCTTAAACTTGACGATAACTTCCAGGTCCTCAGCAAAGCCACGCATGAAGGAAGGACCTGAAAAATTATATGAATGTCAAATTTCAATGAAACCTTGAACTTGCATTGCATGAGGGGAAACATATTAAGGTAAAAAACATTATACAAATCATGCTACATTTGTAAAAGTTCTTACCTCCCCATTCAAAGACTCCCTTGTTCAGCCTCATGATTACGAAAGGCGCAACAGTCGAGCCTTGATTGTCAATCCACTTTTTGGCCTGAAATTTGTAAAAACAAAATGATATCAATGTTTTTTGTATGGGGTAGGGGAGATGTGCCATGCCCGGCAGAAAATGCCCCCACATTAATTGGCTGCTCACCATGAATTAGATTTTTCCTCCAGTAAGGCCTATTTAGCATTTTAAAAATTACTATTTAGTATTTAAAAAAAAATGAAATCGAAGGTTTAGCCTTTATCACTTAAAATTATTTTATAAAAAAGTACTTTATTTGTATTATTCTTTGGTTGATATAAATAATGGTGAATTATATCACATAAACCATTAATATATTAAATTCAATTTTGATTTGTGCTTAATAATGGTGTTTTTTTTTGTGGGGGGGGGGGGGAAGGCATTTCCCAGGCAAAATGAGGGGTCTCGGGGTAAAACCACGCTGTAACAGCCTTGTCATCAAACTGTTTTGCAGCCCAAGTCATTTCCTCCAAAACAAATTACAAAACCTCAATATTTGAATTTAATTCATTCGACAGCCATATATTTCTTTTTGCATGAGTAAGTATTGCTATTACAGTCCTACCACAAAATACTAAGCAATGCATTGTGTGAAGTGGGCCGGTGGGGGGGGGGGGGGGGGGGGGGGGAATACGGTACCACTAACTGAACTAAACATAGATGCAAGGAAATGGCAATTGTTAGGGAATGCCTGAAAAATAGCGAGCATATGGCATGTTCTCAAGAGAACAAAGTAACACCTCAATGATGATTTGGGTGTACTTTTATTAATAAGTAAAAATGACTAGAAATGGTTAAAAAAAGAAAGAAATGTTTTAACACCCACCTAAGTACCGGTATAGGCCTACTCTCATGCTCTAATGGCAGAGCTTCATCTATAGCATTAGCCATTATTTTATATTCAGCTAAAATCGTGTCAAATGTAAGAATGTACAGATAAAATTTAGAGTGCACAGATCAGTGCATCTAATAATCAATTGAATTTGCAATCATAATAAACCAGCTGTGTTTGAAACATTATTTGTACTTGATTTACATGTGTTATTGCTCATTATTATTTATATCAGGCTTCCGGCGGTAAAAATAAATCAGCATATTGTATGCTTTCATAAAAAGTTGACTGCAATAACATTATTATTGCAGTCGTCCGGGCATTTTCGCAGGTTCCCGCTCGATCAAGAGCATAGAAAGTCACAGTTGTCAACCACTCAACAGAGTGTAGCGTGCGCGTACCGTCGAACACGCTGCGCGCATGCAGGCGCAGAAGGCCAGGTATAGGCGCACTGTTGTTAACAATCACAGTGGCAGCTTCAATACGTTTGATGTAAACGAAAAAGATGTAATGGACAGTGTCTTGAATTGTGCTTCTTGCAGATCAAGTCGGCCTGATATAAATAATAATAATAATATTGGATGGCTTTGAGGTGGATACAAGAATATATTGCACTCTCTATGACAATATTGCACGAGTCGAAAGCTTGTGCAATAAATTCTTGTATCCACCTCAAAGCCATCCAATACTATATAAATATTAAATCCTTTAAAAACATATGACTATACTACTGTGAAACCTGTTTTTTTTTTTTTTCAGATGTGGGTGTCGTTTTACCCTGAGACCGGGCAAAAAAAAAAAAACGGCATAAAAACGCTGGCAAAAGTTCCTCCCTGAAAGGGGGGAAATTTTCCCTTATTAATAAAAGGACCATTATATTATATCTGCACATGACAGAGCAAACATGTATTGCATAAAACCACACATTTGTTTCCTATATGTGGTACTGAGATATTGAAAAAAAAAAACACACTACAAATCAGGCATCTTCACTCTAGTTTACTCAACCAACTTTAATTTTGGGCCAGCTGTTCCTAGCCCAGTTCCTTATTATCGAATATAACTACCATAGGTGAGTAGAGTCTGTAAAATGTTGTGAATTATACTTGTTGCTTTTATCCTTTCATAGCACTGTCTTAAATCTAGAGACCAGCTAATAGAAGTTTGAATGGATACACCAAACTAGACTCACTAATGTCAAATCTATGCCAAACTTTAATTTAAGTCAAAACGCATCTGCACCCCTCCGTTTTTTTATATTCATTGCATTTTTGAAATATCATTCTAGGATTCATTTTCATTACTACTGAGACCAATTTGAGATGTTGAAACCCAAGTTTCTATCATTTTGTACAATTATCCATAAAAAATTGGAATTTCTGGTATTATTAATAAATCAAACCTAAAAAAATTACCCACAAGCACAACTAGTTTGCCTTTAAACCTTGAAAATTGATATGATAAACTACGGTACAAGTGCTTTTCATCACATGTATACTTGAATTATACTATATGGTTCAGTCTGGATGGCAACCTTCCCAAATTGTTTTCCCTTTTAATTTATGGCAAGATATCCTGTAATAACATAATATCAGAAATTGAAATATTAGCCTACCGTGTCCTTCAGTTTTCCCCACTTTCTGCGATTGTACTGCAGATTCCTCTGTGTAACCTGTTATAAAAAGCCAAAGCATCAATATTGTATTAACAAAGGCATTCTGCTACAAAAGTACAATACAAATGTTTGGTCCCAGTTTAAAATGAAAGATTGCTTTACTGCAATACATGCACAGTTTATTTGTTAATCAATGTGCCACCAGGAGGGATAAACCTAATTACTCAGCACATGGTCAGAACAAACCACAAAAAGTGGAATAAACAGTTGAGAAATGGACCTGCTACCTATTGGGGAGGTTATTCAATACCTTCCCCCAAACCCAACATAATTTTTTGCTACTGGTCAGGAAAAAAATTAGGTATGCCCTGATGTATAAACTCATATGACAATTTTTGAGACTTCTGTAAAGAAAAAAAAATGTAAAAACCATGACAAATTGATAGCTAGAACATGACCTGGATGTAATAGACCCAGATGCATTCAACCATGTTCCTTGCTCTATGATTCAACGGATTACACTTCCCCCTCACTGCACTCATTTGCATAAATTATCATTCAATCTTAGGTGCCAAAAAAAGGTGCTGAAGAGGATTAGAATGCAGACCCCCCCCCCAAAAAAAAAAAACAACAACAAATTTTCCCACAGTGGTCCTACATGTAGGAACAAATAAATATTAATTCACACTAAAATAACATGGTAAAATAATTATACATAAATATAGAGAAGATCATCAATAATGTGAACATGCTGAAAATCAAAAACAATGCAAAATTGGGGAAGAAGCCAAGTCAAATAAGGCAGAGTAGGTATATTTTGAAATTAGAAAATATCACTAAAACTTAAATAAGTAAGAAGGGGGAAAAAGTAAGAAGAGTGCCAAAAAAAAGATTCAAATATTTCACTGGTTACACATAATTTTCAAAAAATGATACACACTTTTAGAAACCTAATACAAATGTCAGATAAAACACATCAATACAAATACACACGATTTTAAAGATTATTTTTAAAGTTGTAGGACAATTTGTTCAAGTATATCTGGTCACAAAAGGATGTTCTAGAAAAAATATTGTTTCATAATTTTCCTGCAAGGAGAATAAATGTCAATGTGCTTCATAAACTGTCCTTCCTAGTGTAACTGTAAGGACCCTGGAGGTTTACTCATTATTTGCATAGCAGGATTTCACACATTAAAACTGTTTATTGTGTGTTTTCCTGTGATAATAGTACCACCTGTTTTGTACCAGTAGTGTGAGAGGAAACATTTTGACTCATAATGTTATGTGGATTATTAGATTAATAAAGTTATTGGGGAAAAATTACTTCGTATGGTATTTTGTATGATTAAATCTTTTAACATAATTTCATGTTTGTGTCATAACAATGTTAAAAATAAATGCAATAATAACAACAAATGTGTTAGTGAAAAACTTATAAACCAACTTTACATAAAAGGAAATGCTTTCAGCAAGCTGTCCATCAACTTCAGTATGATGTGATGAGGAACAACAATTTTCCTGACCATTACAAACAAAAGGGCCATGCCATAAACCTTCATGTGGTTACAACTCCGATTTACAACTACCGGTAGCTAGAAAATCCCCTGTTAGTTCACAAAACTTGTGTCCAGAAGTGCATGACCCTCATCCCTCTCTACCCCTGTGAAAACCACCCTCCAAAGAGGAGAAGAAACATCTAATAATCAATGCAATGTGGTTCACTGTTTACAAAAAGAGATCTGGGCTTTGGCCTCCCATTGGGAATTGGTTGGAAGAGGCTGATTAGAAAAAGAAGATTATTTCTGACAAGTAACAAATTTTTAAAAAGGCTTTCGACTTTAGATAAATTATGGAAATTACTACATCAAAAGGCAATCACTAGTGGGCTCCACTTATGTATGTCGAGCATAGTCAGGGATTGTTACTTCAATTTTGCCCGAGGAGTGGGTCAGTTCCAAAGTGACAATCCCAACGTCTTGCCGGGAATGAGTGGTGCAGGGGGGAAATGTTGGTTATATACTGACAGATTTTGTGTTCCAGGTCACATTTTATATTTTTTTTTCTCGGATACTTGGCCTCCAAAAATCAATATGGGGGGGGGGGGGGGAGGAAATCATTCTATATTACAGAAAAGTGTACAAATGTACAACTACATGTACCCCCTCACCAGTTGGCTCTGTCCGTATTTTGTGCACAAACGGACAGTTTATCAGTGTCCTCGATCCTCCTATTTCTGCGCAGATAACGCTCTGCAACCCAGTAGCTTAAAGGGAATGAACAACATTTGCTTTTGCTGTAATTTTCAGAAATACATGTAAATGGATTTGGAGGATTAGTATGTTATAGAAAATATTGTTAAACTGACTTGTTACATGTTTTGAGCTTGTAGACGCTGGAAAAACCAAGCAAACCTATCATGTTCTTGTAGTCTGGTTCCCTGACCCCATTTAAAATGAAACAGGGCAATTGATACACTTGGGGAATTGTAGGCTCAGAGAATCAGTCTAGCAGGCTTGTATCCCTTCGCAGGTGTGTAATCAATTGCAAAGAAAAGTCAGAATAACTAAATATGAAAACTTAGGAACAGTTTTTTGAAAAAAAACCAAGTTTTTTCCAACGCTGGTCGGCCGACCAGCGTTGGAAAAATACAGTTTTTCTTGAAAATGTCAGTGCACCAGGAGCCACGATTTTAAAGGATGATTTGGACTGTCAGTCCCTAATAATTCAGTGAGGTATTTCGTGACAATTTCGTAAACAATCCCTTTAAAAATAGCAAAGCAACCACTCTTTCCCTCAACAAAACTCACATTTTTGGCTTACGATCATCCATCATACCGATTAACAAAATGAAATCTCTTTATGGTGGCAGCAAGCGGGGAGTTCCAACAAGTGCAGTTTTGGCATTGTAGAAAAGAATCCTGCCAAATTCTACCATGGAACGCTTCATAAAAAAGTATGTGCTGTCCAGACCATGTAACTCAATGTAAATATTCTGTTTTTAATAACTTAGACTTGTTGGCTTTATGAAAACTATATTTCCTGAGCATTTCAAACATTATTTCTTTCTTTTTCTTTCATTTTTTCAATGCCAATACACTTTTCGTAATTTCAGGATTATTTCAATATCCCATTTTGGAGATTTATACAAAGGCCTATATTTACATATTTACATATTAACCAGATTTATACATATTTACCTATTAATGTAGATCCCAATGATATTGTTATTCTGAGCATCCCAATCAACAGAGACAGTTTTTAAGATGTCGGATTTTAAAACTTATGGCAAAAAAATTCCGAAATAATGTAAGAAACGTGTCTTTTTAGTTGCACCGTAAGTTTTCCCTTGTAGAAACTGAAAATTTCTATGACATCTCAACTATAAATATACTGACGATATTTGGCGACCAAGAAAGGACATCTTTTGGTCACATTTTTGACTTCTGCAGGCCCGGAAGCATGATCTGCCTGCATTCAAGCATGATTCAAGTTTGTACTTAAGTATTTGGCTGTAGAATTTGCCTGAATTTCTGGTAAAGCCTTCAATTTCCACTTTTTTTGGGCCGCTGGTTAAAGTTCGTGCATCAAAGAATACGATCCCGGTGAAAGTATGTC